TGGATTCTGTATTTGCCTGTTTACTTTCATAACAAGACAGGGATACAGACTCCACAAACAAACAGCAGTGAGAGCCTTATAAAATTCACCCCACCCCGAGGTCCACCCATGCCATGACTCAGCTCCACCCTCAGATTTTGCATTTTGGGGATATTTATATATGTGTGTGTGTGTGTGTATATATATATATATATTTTTACCATACAGTCACCTTTTCCTTCACAGCATCCAGTGAGGAAAAAGTCCCTAACAGACCTATAATTGTAGGCTAGAGTGACTGATTGATAAGCTAGTTAACTTGTATATTCATCCATCCGTTCAACAAGCCTGTCCTGAAGACTTACTACTTACAGGGCATTGGGTCACGGGCTGGAAACGCACACGTGTTGTCCATTGGCCCTCATCATCCATTTCTAACCTCATCCAGCGTCTCCCCTGTTGGGCATTAGCTGGAAGGCTGACATCTACAATTCCCAGAAGTCTTAGTAGCAAGACTCTGGGGTGCAGTTAAAGTCCTGCCGGTGAGATGCACTGATGTGATATCTGGAAGACAGGAGGAAGGCAGAAGTCATTCTTCCTGTGAGAGCTGCAGCTGACTGTTTCTGGCAGATGTGGGTATTCCCGGGGCCACATTCCACATTCCACTGTTCAGCCATCGTCTCCTTGGGCGTGGGGCAGCCCTTTGCAGAGCTCGGTATTACCACCATGGTCAGATGACCCTGCAGCCAAACGTCTAGTGGCGGCTTGCCTGGCAACGACTTGGTAAATGCTGAATCACCTTTTGCTTGGAATATCTCATGCGGTTTCTTTTTTCATACTGAATCTTCTCAGATAAAAGAAATAAATAGGATTGCCCTTAAGAAACTATCTATTAGGGGAGAAAGACAATGCAAAGTGATTAGGAATGTAAGGGTGCGAATGCAGAAGGTGCTGTGGCAGCAGGGAGCAGTAAGCACAGACCTGGTGGAGGGGTGTTCCAGGGGTTTATTACTGCACAGCCAACACCCCCAAACTTAGGCCTTTGTGTCCCTCGCAGTTTTGTGGGTTGGCTGGGCTTGGCTGGGTGGTTCTCCTGCTCTTCTCGTGGAATTGCAGTCAGGGTGGCTGGGGCTTCCAGGGGCTCCACTGACACTGGGATGCAGGGCCTCCCTCTCTCCCCGGATCTCCCAGGGCCTCTCCTCTTCATGTAGTCTCGCCAGCAAGGTGGCTCCCCAAAGCACACTTATCAGGCCCCTCTAAGTTTTAGGCCCAGAACCGGCACAGCATCCGTGATGCTGCAGATTTCCGGTCAAGGTGAGTCACAGGCCCAGCCCAGGTGTAGTGGGCAGGGACGATGCCAAGATGTGGAGACGGAGAGGCGTGATTCCCTGGGGGCCGTCTCAGGAACCAGCTACCATAGAGGGGCACTCTAGAAGTCAGGGAAGGTCCATGGAGAGCACCCAGTGGTTGAGCAGCTGGTAGACCTGATGGAGGAACTAGGGCCTTGTCCAGAGCCCAGCATAGCTATTCCTCAGTAAATCTCAATGTAAGGAAGGGTGGGAGACAAAGGGAGGGCAGGCAAACACAGGAAGTGTCAGCTGGTGGCCCTTCGGGTCAGGCCAAAGAACACTGTTTAGTAGGGAAGAGAGTATAACTCAGTGGTGGAGCACGTGCTTAGTATGCACAAGGTCCTGAGTTCAATCCCCAGCACCTCCATTAAAAAACAAACAAACAAACAAACCTGATCTCTCCTTATCTTAAAAAATTTTTAAATTAACAAAAAAAAAAAAAAAGAAAAAGAACATTGTTTAGAGGCAGCACAGCGGGTTTCAGGACCTGCACGGATATGCATGGGCTCAGAGGATGGAGGGGCTGGAGGGTCTGGGCTGGGGGATTTGGACTTGACCTTCAGGCGGTGGAGGCTACTGAACAGCTTTGGGCAATGGAGAGGCACGACCACATTCGTATGTTAGAAGGATCCTTCTGGCTGAAGGACAGTGAGGAGTTGGTCTGAGGAAGGGGGTCCTGGAGGCAGTGAGACCAGTTAGACTATGGCAGTGGAGCCTGTGAGGAAGGAAGAGGGTAAGAAAAAATCTAGCAGTGGGGAAGCAGAGGAGGAGGAAACAGATCTGAGGTGGTCCTGGAAGGCAGAGTGAACGGACCCTATCACCTCTGATTTGTGGTGTGACACAGAGGACTGGGATACGCATGACGACATGAGCTCTCCCCACCGCACTCCTCCCCTTTCTCTTTCATTTTTTAGCCCAACTTTCTCCCTCCAAAGAGAATTTGAGTTGGTTTCTACTCCAGGCACACCCTAAAGAGGACATTTAAAACAAAAATGCTTAAAACTATTCTGAAATAAACATTTTATTGAAAATTTGTCACATAGAAAAAAGGCTTAAAATAAGGATCAAACAACATTTAAAACAGTGTTTTCCAAACTTTGTACGGCAATTAAAGTAGAAATACATATTTATGTTATGACTTATTAGGCATATACATATATAACTGAAAAAGCTTCATGAACCAATCCTTAACCTCGCTATGCATAATGCACTCTGATATTTGCTATTTTATTTTATTTTTTAAAATTCTGGTAACAACCCACTAAACTGACTTCATCAGTGGTTAATGGGCTGCAACCTCCTCTTCGAAAAACACTGATTTAGAGGATGGGGAGATACAATGTTTTATAAAGACATATAATGTTCAGGGCCCATTTCATACCAAAGGTACTTTTGAAGTACCTTGTTGTACGCAGCAATCCTGCGAGGTGGATATTTCCCACAATTTACCAATGAGAAGACAGGCTTAAAGAGACCAAGTCATTTGCTATGCAGTTCAGAAGAGTGATGGATGGTGAACGCAGAACTGGAAGCCAATTTTTCTCCTTTAAAAATTTTTTTCAATTGAACTATAGTTGATTTACAATGTTGTGTTAGTTTCTGGTTTACAGTAATGTGATTCAGCTATATATACAGTCATACATATACACACACACACACGCTTATATCTTTTTCCAGATTCTTTTCCATTAAGGTTTATTACAAAATATTGAATATAGTTCCCTGTGCTCTATCTTGCTTATCTATTTTATATATAGGATCTTATTTATTTTATGTATAGTAGTGTGTATGTGTTAATCCCAAACTCCTAATTTATCCCTCCCCCTCTTTCCCTTTTGGTACCATAAGTTTGTTTTCTATCTCTGTGAGTCTTTCTGTTTTGTAAATAAGTTCAATTGTATCATTTTTTTGGATTCCACATATAAGTGATATCATATGATATTTGTTTTTCTTTGTCTGACTTACTTATGATAATCTCTAGGTCCAACCACGTTGCAGCAAATGGCATTATTTCATTCTTTTTCTGGCTGAGTAATATTCTATTCTATATGTATATTACATGTTATATATAAAACATCTTCTTTATCCATTTATCTGTCAATGGACATTTAAGTTGCTTCTGTGTCTTGGCTTTTGTAAATAGAGCTGCTATGAACACGGGAGTGTATGTACCTTTTTGAATTAGAGTTTTCTGCAGATATATGCCCAGGAGTGGGATCATATGGTAAGTCTATTTTTAGTTTTTTAAGGAACCTCCAAACTGTTCACCAATTTACATTCCCACCAATAGTGTAGGAACATTCCCTTTCTTCCTCACCCTCTCCAGCATTTATTACTTGTAGACTTAATGATGGCCATTCTGACCAGTGTGAGGTGATAATCTCATTATAGTTTTGATTTCCACTTCTCTAACAATTAACACATCTTCTCATGTGCCTATTGGCCATCCATATGTCTTCTTTGGAGAAATATCTATTTAGGTCTTCTGCCCATTTTTTAATTGGGTGAAAGCCAGTTTTTCTGACTAAAAATCTCAGCCTTCCTCAATATGCTTTGCCTGGATAAGAGACACAGGTGAGCTCTAACTGAAGACTGATTTTAATTTTGAACTCTCTGACATACAAGGCAAACAGGTGTCTGATAAAAACAAACAGGCAAGTTTGTCCAAACAAGCTTCCCTCCAGCACTAAATCCCAGGACGTGGGCTCCATGCGTAGCCCGGGCTATGTATGATAATGACTATTGTTTTCATCTATGACTTTTGCAGAAGATGCCAAATTATGAGTATAATTTTTTAAACACAGACTCTTGGTAGCAGTGGGGGGGGGGCTGTTAGCTGTCCCCAGTATCCGTTCTACCCTTCCTCCTTCGATGTTGCCCCTCCTATTTTTACTTAGAAAAACAGCCACCCAGAATGAAGACTGCGCTGTCCGGCCTGCTGTGCTGCTGGGTGTTGTCATGCACCTAAGCCTGTTAATGAAGTGTCAGCATCCTCCAAGTGCCACTCAAGTAAAGGGGACTGTTTTCATTTTCTATTGCTGCAGTGACAGCAGCACCGAACAACACAAATGTGTTATCTCCCAGATTCTGTAGGCCAGGGGTCCCCTTTGTCTCAGCAGGTTTCTCTGCTCCAGGTTTCACAAGGTCAAAATCAACTTGCTGGCCAGCTGGGCTCTACTAGGGAGGGTCTGGGCAGAACTCAGGCTGCTGGCAGAATCCAGGGCCTGTGGTTATAGGACCGAGGTCCTCGTTCTTGGCTGATTGTCCTGTGGGGGCATCTCTTGGCTCCTGGAGGCCTCTCCCCAGTCCTGGTACATGGGACCTGCATCCCAGAGCCAGCAGTGGCACATGGGATTCTCTCACACACTGAATCCCTCTGACTCTTCCCTCTGCTGCATCTCCTGGATTCCAGCTGGTGAACATAGTCTGCTTTTAAGGGCTTGTATGATTAGATTGGGTCCACCAGATAATCCGAGATTAAATTAAGGTCCCTAACCTAGCTATATCTGCCAAGTCCCTTTTGTTCTGTAATGGAACATACCCACAGGTTCAAGGGATGACAATGTGGACATCTCACAGGGACTAAAATTCCACCCTTATCACAAGGTCCTACACTTTTTCCTTGTTTCTTCTCTCCTGTTGCTTAGAAAGTGGGTGTCATAGAGGAGTGCCCTATGGGCCTGTGAAATGAGGGGCACAAGTTAGAGGCGGCAGAAAGGGAAGGCAAAGTAACCTGGGCCCCAGATGACTCTGGAACAATAGTCCAATCCTGAGCCCCCTCCCTCCAGACTTCTGTGTAGGAAGGAAGTTAACTTCACTCTTCAGCCACTGCTGTTTGCGGTTTGTAGCAGTCACAGACAGGCCTAGCCCCACAGTAACTTCTAAGGGAGTGACTTACTAAGGGGGTCCTGGGACAATCACCTATTCTTGGGAGCCAAAGACCCCTAAAAAAAGTCAACTTTGTAAAGAGACTTTCTATTGCTGGTCATCAGATGATCCTTAAGCTACTCGAAACATGTGTGCCTTACATCTAAAGCTAGTTGAAACATCAATGCTGTTTGAAGTGTAACTTTAGTGGGACTGGCTTTTGCCTCTTGGTTTTATAGAGTTGGTGGTTTTTTTTGCTCCTGCCTGGTCAGCACCAAGGTGACTTTTCAGCCCAGACACTCTCTTGTGAAGACCCAGACAAGACCTAGCTACCCCCATCAGAGGGAGGGAGGACCTACGGCCCTGGGGGAAAAACACACACACACACACACACACACCTGTTTTGTATCACTGTTGTCACGCTTGAAGCCCACTGAGCCAAGTGCTGTCCCTGCTCTAGGGGGATGAGAAAGATCGCAGTTTCTGGAGGAACCACCCCACACACCCATGCACGTACTCTTTACGTACGTTATTTTATTTAACCATCACGCAATCACAAGAGGTGGCACTGTCGGTAATTCACAGGTGTGCAGACAGGCCCAAAGCGATTAAATTACTTGCCCTAGTCCGGAAGAGCAGTAACTAGTGGATGCGGAACGAGGAAAACAGGTGGCATGAGAGTTGGCTTGTGCTTTACAAAGTCTGTGTGTTTGTGTGTCTGTGAAAGACCTGCTCATCCAGGGGAGAAATAATCTGCTGTATTGCATTTCTGGGCTAGAAAATTAGCCTTTCAATGTTAAGCTGAAATAAAGCATGCATTTATTTATGGCAATAAATTCAATCATACAGTATTTTCAATGTTCTTAAATCTTGGAGGCTATTTTATTGTGTTTTTAGAACTACCAAAGCAGAAATAATTCCATGTAATATATCAGTTTCAAACTGGCAGTATTTCCAGAGGCATCTAGACGTGTGAAACATCTGAATTTTTTAGAGCATGTATAGTTAGAAGAAAAGATTTTTCAAACTCTCATTCCCTTGGAAATAAGACTTATTGAGAATTTGGGGAAATAATAGAATGTATTCAAGTAATATAAATAGCTCCCAGCAAAAATATTGTTACAATTTTTATATGTGTAATTATGACCAGATGTGAGAGTTCAGTGTATTCTGTAATGCAGACAAGAATGCTGACTGCATGCTGGTGATCTGACACATATTCAACGTGTCTGTATGCTCCATGTTTAGGGAAAGACTCTAAGCAATTCAACTTGAAAGTGAATTACAAAATATCACTTGAGGTTGGAGCTGTCTATGCTTTCAACAGCCACAGCATTTCCATAATAGAGAAAAATAATTTTAATAAAAAAGGAATAAAATTGTATTACCATTCTATCTCATGATCTATAAATACAGCATACTTTAATATGGGCACCTGCCTTTGGCAGGTTATCACTAGGTAGTCCGAAAGATGAGCAGTCACTTTCACTCTTAAGACAGCTATTGGTACCTCTTCTTCCTACTGGGAGTCACCCGCAGATCATTTCTCCTGGCTCCAGCTGTCCACGTGGAGCGATTTCCTGAAGGCTGGCTGCCAGCTGAGAGGCTACATCACTCCTAGTTCTTTTGCAGAGGAGCCTTTCTGCTTCCTGCTGCCCTGTCTCAGTTTCCTATCAGGTTTACTGCTGCTCCATCCAGCTTGTCAGAATGGGCATGAATATAATTTGATTTAGTGTCAACCCAGAACTTCCCTCTTCGGACCCTTCTAAGTACTTGATTTTCAGGAGGTTTCCAGGTAATGCTGCTGACGTATGAAAGACCTCAGCTGTGAACACTTTTTCTTCAAAAGAAAAACAATTTTAATTCCTTATGTAATCATGCAATCCTTCAGCAATTAGCCAGCTTCTACCAAAATTCCAACTCGTGTTCTTCTAAAGATAGCGTTTCCTGCCTTCAAACATTGTATCAACACAAGGAATTGAGACAGTTACCTGAGTGGACAGTTTTCATCAGCAGCAATGTCATCAGGCACTTGGGAGATGGCTGTGAGTATATATGAAGATGTCCCTCGTCCCTGCATACACATTTGACTGTCACCACGGCAACCCACGTAAAACACACCTTAAACACACGCACACAAATGCACACTGGCCAACAGGAAAACACAGAGGCACGAAGATAGAGAAGCCCACCCTAAGACACACCCACACCTACACAGACACACCGATCTAGAGAGAAAGAGAAGGGGTGGGGGGAGAGAGATTGGGAATGGAAAAACAGGCAGGTTTCACGCACTTGAAAGGGCAGTGCAATTCTTAGATTTCATTCAAACTTTAATGCTTTGAACTGAATTAGTTGAAGCAGAGGATATGGAGAAGGTGACAGCGCTAGACTACAGGGGCCAAAAATGATTTGGGAAATCAAAACAGCCTTTGCTGTTCTAAAAGGAGAAATTTGGGGACCCTAAATGACTCCTATATACTCTGATAAATTCACCCGTAATCAATCCAATCCCCATGACTGTGACGACCATCAGGAGACGAGGTGATTGGCTTTTTAAAAACTGAAAGCTTCCAGGGCAAGCACTGTACGATTTCCAGGGGTGCCCGGCACAGAGTAAGAGCCTAATAAACGTTGCTGGATGCACTCAGGCGCCAGTCCAGATCGAAAGTTGCAAGCGAATTACAGATGCCAAATCCGTTAAAAGCAATAAGCAGGACCTGAAATCACCACCAACCAACTCTCAGATGTTGTTCTTGGGTGGTATGAATTTAGCTCTTAAGGTGAGAACTTCTTGGAGTAACCGTTAAACCTACAGGAAAAAATAAATCGCAAAAGAAAAGGAGCCTTTGCCGCGCACTGTTCGTGGCACTGTGTGACACGATGCTCTGCACCAGGAGGCCCCCGGCCGCACAGCGGCGCGCTCTCCCGGGTTCCGCATCCCGGCCCCAGCTCTCGGCGGCGTCTGCGTGAGGATGTGCGTGGCGAGGAGCCCACGTGGGCTCTTCCAAATCCCGGGACCGCGGCTTTGGCTGAGCCAGGACGGTGCTTCGGTCGTCAGCGCGCGGGGAGCGCTCCGCCTCATCTGGGCGCGCCAGCAGCGCCCGGTGGCGCGGCACAAACGTCCCTCACGGAGGATGGAAGATTCCAGGAGGAATGGTGGGGCTTGTGGTCCAGCGTGGATGACCTCTGGGGAGTGGGGGTGGGGGCGGCGGAGGCGCGGGCGGCGAGCCTGGGACGCGGGGCGCTCGGGGCGGCGCGCGCTCGCGGGCGGACTGCGCACGGCGTCGGCCGGAACCCTGGTCTCCCTCCGCGCCGAGGACGCTTTCCTCGGCGTTCGAGGGCCGCCGCGCTCTGTTCACTCCGCGTGAGGAGCGCGCCGGCCTGAGGAGCGCGCCGGCCTGAAGAGCTGAGGGAGGCTGCCAGCCCCACCGGGAGGTAGGTGCCGCGGTCACCTCTGGGGTTTTGACACCTGGACATCGCTTGACTGGCAGAAGGAGGCCTTGCCCCAGGCCCGGCT